AAGCAGCTGGCCTGTGGGCAAAAGTCTGCTGATTCCTGGCATAAGAAACAGATGAGAATTTTGACATTTAACATATATGTTTATTTCCCCCAAAAAAGTACAGTATAATGAAATACCTAACAAAGAGATTCTATACAAGGAATGGATGGGAACAAGGTAGAGCAAGGACAGCAGTGAGGCATCTCTGAGTATGTCTTTCTGTGCAGTTTTAACTTCTGACCCATGTAAATATTTTGATATTCAAAAGTAGGTTAAATAAAAAGGATTTTTAAAAACCTTAAAATTGAACACAAAAATTAATGAATCTAATTATGTATTAAACTGATAACGCAAATGAGAAAGGATTCAAGTAGCTTCCGAAAACAGTATTGTAAACTTTGTATATGATATATTCTAAGCACAAGAAGAACTGCAAAAAAATTTCAAGCCTTTCTTAGGAGGTTTTATTGACAGAAACATCAGGGTAGTAATTACAGAACTACCTCTGTGTTATAGCACAGAGCATATATTTTAAAATGAGGTTCCTAGTTCTGTTCACTGAAAGAACCTAGAAGCAATGACATCCAAAGAGCAATAAGCACATGTCCCCAGACCTTGAGTTCTAATATTCTTCACCAAAAGGAACCAAGGCCCCTTGGAGTCAGCCTGTTCAAGGCAAGCACAAAGTGCTCGTGGGATATGCTGATGGCAGAAAGCAAGCAAGTGCTCAAATGCTAATAAGATCAAAGGTGTAAAGAGCCAGCTTGGAGTTCCCCCTGCTCCATTTGTGACTTAAGACATTAGGACTTAATATTATGAAAAAAATGATGATGGAAATGGGTTATAATAAAATGAACAATAATAAAACCCAGGAATGCATGATTAGAGAGACAGAGAACAGAAAAAGGAAAATTCTTCTTCATTAAAAAAAAAAAAAAAACTTCAGGTAGTTAATATAGAATAAAGGATAGAGTTAGAAAACAAACATTTTGAAATGCTTGCTATGATAACTGATCCTGGCAAAGAACATTAACGATGCCAAAAGCACTGAGTGAAATGTTGTGGAGAACAGAATTCAAAGTACATTCCAAAATGATCACTACGTATTCTGAGGGAAAAAACTTCATAATGGAGAACTCTAAAAGTTACCAGTAAGCCAAGTAATCAAACTTAGTGATGACCGATATAAGGCTAACCTGACATCCTGTGCCTTTCTCATTCCCTGTGCTACAAAGTACACACACAATATCACCTACGCTTGCCAAAAACCTTTAACTTGAATCTAACAATGGAGAATCAATTATAGGGAATCCCAGGCATGATAGCGCATGCTTACAATCCCAGCACTCTGGGGGGCCGAGGCAAGAAGATTATAAATTCCAGTCTAGCCTAGACAACTTAATGCCTTAGTAAGACCTTGTCTCAAACTCTAAAAATAATAATTTTTAAAAAAGGGCTGGGAATGTGGCTTAGTGTAAAGGTCCTGTGTTCAATCCCCAATACTGAAAAAAAAAGAAATCTGAAGTACAAGACATTCTACAGGACAACTGGGCCTGGATTCCTCAAAAAGGTCAATGTCTTTCTATGAATGGGGAGTAGGGAACTATTTAGATCAAGAGAGACTAAAGAGTCAGAAATTCCGAACATAAGGTGTGGACTCTGATTGGGTCCTACAACTATAAAAGATACCTGGGGAATGGACAGAGGAAATTTAAATATAAACTATATATTAAATATTATTAAATCACTATGCGATGACCTAGATGTGATCATCATACTACGATTATCTGGAGAATGTCTTCAATCTTGAGAGTTGCATGCTAGAGTATAAAGGGTAAAATGTCATGAGATCCATAATTACCTTTCAAATTGTTCAGAAAAACAAGTAGGGAGAGTGAGGGAAGAAGGACAGAGAAGAAAGTAGTCATGAAGGGGGAAAGAACTGCAAAAAACTGTTGAAGGATATTCTACATGAGAGCAATGCCTATTCTTTGGGAAAAGGAAACTACTCCCATGTACAGCTTAAGTAAGCTTGATGACAGCTGCCCATCTCACCGGTGTGGTAAATATACTTTTTTATTTACCTTTCACCCAAGACTTAGTACAAAGAATTAAGGACCAAAATGATTTCAAATCCAGCCTTTACAACTGGACTTCAGAAGTAGACTGTAGTCTAGGATCCCAGTTAAGAGGCTGAGGCAGGAGTACTGTAAGTTCAGTCCCAGGCTGGGAAACTTAGTGACTCAGCCAAATCCTGCCTCAAAATGAAAAATAAAAAGGTTTAGAGAAACTCAGGGCAAAAGCCCTGGTTTCAATCCCCAGTACCACCAAAAGAACACAAAAAGAACTAGACTATGAATTAAAAGATACTCAGCACTTGCTCCCTCTACTTACAGGCACAGTGACTCCCCTTATTTCATCCACAAAATGGGGCTAAAGGCAAAGGCCAGCAAACTGTCTCAATGTCAATACAGTACTCTCTGTGTCACACTATGGAATCTCAAGAATCATAAAGACCACAACCAAAACCAGCTAAATCCAGAACCTGCTTGTTCCAGAACTGCTGAGTGCCAAAGAGGATAACAAAAGTAGCTAAAAGCAGCCAGCACAGTCATACTACAGAGACCACTCTCTCGAACCATGTTCTGTAACACTTCCAGGGTTTACAATCACAAGGCTAAGAGACCTGAATTATTATCCTCTTCCTTATGCACCACTCTCAGTCCTGTTATTTTTAACAAAAATAACAGCAACTGACTAGGTATTGGCATTACGCTGCATGCTCTTCCTCAGAACAATTCTTTGCAATATGTATTACTATTGATACTTCATAGGGTTAAGTTCAATTCCCCAAGTTCACGTTGCCTATTAAGTGTTAAAAACTTGAATTCAGACCCAGATATATCTGAATCAGATACCTGTAGCTGTAAAACATTGTGACATTGCCTCATATGGACAAAACAAGAGATGATTTAATTGCCACACTTTAATCAGCATGGAAATCTGTTCTTTTAAAGGTGGAAGAAAAAATTTTGAGGACTGCCTGTGCCTTATTCCAGACAAACTAATTTGGAAAGCACACAGATGTTCCTGCTGAACGGCCCAAGAGTCCCCTCTCTACTGTAGCCATGTGTATTCCCACATGCTAGAAGAAATTCACTCATTAGCTATATCCAACTCTCAGGCCACAGGTTTAGGAAAGACTGCTGATAGGAAAGGTTTGGAAATCTGACCTTCCTAAGCTTAAGGCTCTAACGGAGCTCCACTTCAGCAAGATTCCTGATATTTAAAATAACCCTTGATTTTCTTGACCTGAAATTACTTCTTCCAAACAGATTTTTCACATTCAATCATAAATATCTCTGAACTCCTGCAAGTCATAAATGTCACCACTGCCAGCACGGCTGTGAGAAGAATATGGGCAAAGCTACCTCTGGGTGGCATGAGGGATGGGAAACAAAGCCACTTTACACTTAGCAACAGTCAGCAGTTCTCAAGTGCTAATGCTTTTCTCTTCTAACCACATTAAAAGTTTTTATTTAATTTAATTTAATTTATTTTATTTACTTTCTGACAGTACTGGAGATTGAACCTAGGGCCTTCTCATTGAGCTACACCCCTAGATCTCTACCTACGTATGTACCTACCTATCTATTGAGACAAGGTTTTGCTAAATAGCTAAGTTACAGGGCTCAAATTTGATCACCATGCCTCAGTCTTCCAGAGTGCTAAAACTAGACGTATGCGCCATCTTTTGAGTACCTTTTCCACATATGAATTAATTTAATCATCACAACAGTCCTTAACCCCATTGCAGAGAAGAAAAAACTGAGGCCAGACAGGTTAAATCACTTGCTCAAGGTTTCTGATATAATAAGTAGCGTAACTGGAATTTTAAACAAAGTAGTCTGGTTCTAGCACCTGTTGTTCTGCTATCTCTCAAAATGGAACCAAAAGGAATCAGCTTCTGGCATAAGCTATGGAAAGGTCAGGAGAGCTAAGAAATAATAGCAACATTCTCCAGGTCACCCTGCAGGAGCACGGACGTGCCCGTGCAAAGGCTTTGTGATGGGAAACACCTAACACCTTGCTGAACAGAATCTGCAGCCAAACAGCCCCACACCACAAGCCCCCTACAGCTTAGAAGGTGCTGACACAGCACTGTGACATTACGTTATTCTTTCCAGGAATTCTGAGGTCAGAGAACAAACGGATGAGATAATAGTGGATGATCACAGCACCAATATTTATGTCAGCTCACATCACTCGCCTTGTAACACCATATACCAACCAGGCAGGTTAAGGGTCCCGTTTTGGTTTTGGTTTTCAGTTGAACCCAGCGCCCTCTACAACCCCAGCCCTTTAAAAAATATTTTTATTTTGAAATAGGGTCTTGTTAAGTCACTGAGGTGCCCAGTCTGGGTTTGAACTTTCAATCCCCCTGACAGCCTTGTAGAATGCTGGGATTACAGGTATGCACCACCACACCTAGGCTGTACTGTTCTTTTTTATAAACAAATGTTTATATCTGGGCAGATGTACTATGGAGTTTATTCACAGTTACTAATAGTTCTATTCTCTTTAGAAAATTATTTTAAGGACACAGAATCCTATAACATAGATGGACTTTAAAAATATTTTGAGTGAGAGAGGCAAGTTATAAAGGACCACATAATGAATCATTCCACTGATATAAAATATCCAGAACTGCCAAATCATAGAGACAGAAAGTTATTGCCTAGCACTGGGGAGGGGGGCATGGAAAGTGACTGCTAACAAATACAGGGTGAGGTGGTGGGGTGAGATAAAAATTGATCCCCAAAATTGATCATGGCGAGGGCTGCACAACCTGTGCCTACACTAAGAACAGTTATGCTGTACTCTTGGAATGGGTGAATTGAATAGTACGTGAATTATATCTTAATAAAACTGTTAGAAAAAACAAGACAGCAACACAGGAGCGATGTTCCCCCATCCACTCTGCCCGCTACCCCCTCACCCCCTGAGCTGTGGGTACTCACTTCGAGGTCCTCATGGAATCATCCATCCAGCCTCCCAGCCTGCGAGGGGGTTTCGGAGGGGGAGCCTGTGATGAGAGAAGCCAAAATGACAGTCACTTAACGCGAGCAGCCACACACCATAGAGGCTGAGATTCAGGCCACCGAAGCCAACAACCTATCAAGGTATTCCCCCCAAAACAATATAAAAGTAAAAATATGTCTGACTAAAAATACAGTAAGCTTTCCAATTAGCTATGAAAGTATGCGTGCTTGCAGGCCCTCCTGGTAGGCGAATACGCTGGAAGGGCAGCTCTGAGGGACAATGTGGCAGGTGTCTACTGAAAGAGTTTTAAATGCACACACTTCTTTGGGGGTGAGGGTAGGCCCTGGGGATCAAATCCAGAGCCTTGCACGTACTAAGCATGAACTCTACCACTGAGCTGCACTCTGAGCCAGCTCATACTTTTTGAGCCAGCAATTCTAATCCCAGGAATTTATCTCAAGGAAATAAACAGACAAGAATATAACATTACTTTTGAATAATGAATAATAGTTGGAAACAATCAAAATGGTTGGCAATAAGGAATTAAGCAAATGGCAGAATACACATAAAAATATTATGCAAATAATACAAGACTACATTACAAAAATACTGTATGATATAAAGTTCTGTACATATTTTCAAAAATGTTTGAAAACAGTAGGCATAAACTTTCTGATTTTGTGCAAAGATTTTCAATAAACAATACCTACTGTTAATTAGCTGTATGTTCATGATGGCTGTCTTGGTTACTTTTCTCTCATTGCTGAGACAAAATACCCAACGTCCAAAATGAAGGAAGGAAAGGTTTATTTAGCTTACAGTTTGTGGAGGTTTCAGTCCATACTTGGCTGGCTCCGAGGCAGAAGGTAGCAAAGCAACAAGAGCAAAGGGGGGAATGGCAGCCGAACAGCAAACAGCCAGAGCAAACCGGAGGAATGGTGGCAAGCAGCTTCTTTCCCTGCCTTACTTGTAAACAGGCTACCTCCACCTAAGGGGCCTGTAGCTCTCACATAATCTCCATGCCCTCCTCTTCCACAGGCTCAGGAAATATACAAAGTAAGCACCCTGGCTTCCTGCTGAGTCACTTAGCCAAACCTCTAGACTCCCCAAGTTGACACAATGTATCAACCATAACAATGGGGAAAGGACTCCAATTATAGGCAATTTTAATTTTTCCTCCCTGTATTGCCACACATTTTGCAATTTTTTTCAACAGCCAACTTACATCATTTTTTTTTTTTTTTTTTGGTATGGGGAATTGAACTCAGGACCTTGCGCTTGCCAGGTAGGGGCTGTGCTGCTAAGGTATATCCCCAGCTTCATTAACTTTTATAAGACAAAAGTAATAAAGATATAAAAGGTTTTCTGAGAAGACATAAACAAAATTGGTAAGTTAAAATCTACCATAATTGTAAGGAAAGAACCATTCAGCCGAAATGGACACATTCAGACACCCAAGAACACAAATTCTTACCCAGCATGTTTTAACCAGAAATACTAAGGGAACAGCAACCAATCCACTGAATCACTAAAGTTAGAAAAAACAGCTTAGATTATCCCTACTTTAAATTACCTAGTGTTCTCCTAGGACTTTTCTGTGAAATTTCAACGTTCTTGTCTAAGAACTTCACAGCACTGTAACTGCTGCTCTCGGTCTAAAAAAGTACTTTGATAAAAGGACTAAAACAGAGGCGGGCAAGTTTCTTCTATAAAGGGTAAAATGATAAATATTTTTTATTGATGCAATTACTCAACTCTGATACTGTACAGCAATAAATAGCTGTAATAATAAGTGGGCAAATGAGTATAGTTAGTTTCAAGAAAACTTTACAAAAATAGGCAGTGGGCCAAACTTAGTGGGAAGGATGTGGTTTGCTGATTCCTGCGCTAATAGGTTGTATCATTATGCCCTTCTTTTGTTGTGGCTTAAAGCCCAACATGGGACTTTAAAAACACATATTCCCTTCGACATGCCTGAATACCTTTATACTTCTGATATTTTTATCTTACACCGTGATACATTTTCTTTCCTGCTTCACTAGTGGTGCCCCAGCCTGACAAGGGTGGGCTCTATTTACAGTATGGGGCCTTTCTGCAGGGTGAGCCAGAGCCTGCTGGAAATGACTGTGAAGGATCCAAGTCCTGGAATGCCTGTATCCAGTTTCTCGTCTGGGAAATGTAAGTAGCACCTTAGAGAAAACAAACTCAAGTTTCCTATGCAAGAGGCCAGCACCAGAGCTGTCTGAAGGCTCTTTACACTTCTGTTAGAAACAATACAAATACAAAAGCAGAAAACCGGCTCTTGTTTGTCGTCGCAAGGAGAAACTCTAAAGATGAACCAAGGGACTGCCCAGGGGTGCACAAGACCTGGTCATGACCAGTTAGATTCCCAGTCCCTGGAACGTGCAACAGAAGCACTGAGGCTGAGTGGTGCAGATAGCATTGAGCACTGGAACTGTAAGCTTAGACCAGCTAGCATTAGAAAAACCCAGACTATCACAAGCCGAGGCTGTATAGAGACAAAATCCAAGGCCCTTACCTTAAGCTCTTACCATGCACAAGGCACTGGGCTGAGGAGGTGAAACGGTAAAGTGAACTGAACTAAACCAGAGGCCCTTGCAGATGTGTTAAGCCAATGTGGCCTGCAACTTCCATGAATAACACTATATTTCTTGATCCACGCATAGGCCTATCTTGTGACAACATAATAAAGTCATAAACTGGCAGTCATATGTTTTGGTTGGCCATACAGTTTTTTTGCCTTTTGTTTTAAACTTAAACCACCACTTAAAGATTTCCCCAGTCGGGCAGGCATGGTGGCGCACGCCTGTAATCCCAGCACTGAAGAAGCTGAGGCAGGAAGATTGCCGTGTGTTCGAGGCCAGCCCAGGCTACATAAACAAATTCAAGGCCAGCCTGCATTACATAGTGAGACCCTGTCTCCAAAAGACTTCCATGTTAGAAAATCAATTCCAGGTTCTCTCGAATAACGAATATCCAGCAATGCTGGGGCTGGACAGCTGCTGCCCCCTGTAGACACGACATGTACACTGCAGTTTGCCAGACTAGCCACCTTTCTTCCTGTCTCTTGCCTGCTGAAGTCAAGATCCTTTCTACCTAAAGGTAACACAAAGCCACATTTCCTCCTATGTTCTGCTCCTTATAAGCTGGTGCTGGCAGCTGCAAAATAAAAAGCTCACTATATCCAGGAGCTGTGGCTGAACAATCAGTTGCTAACTAACCACTTCTCTACACCCACCACAGTTTAACAATGCTTTCTACTGTCAAAGCTTGTCACCAAGAACTGACATAATATTGTAAAAGCTACAATATATAAGCAGCTTTTCATTTTGCCTAAACACTAAGAGACTCTGGGGGAGGAAATGATTCAAAAGAAATCCTGTGAGCAAACAAGGCAGGGCTACAGGAGTCCTTCTCACTGGGATTTTGGTGAAACTCAGGGGAGAGCACTGAGGCAGATGGAGGCAGGAGGGACAGGCAGAACTCAGCTCTCTGCAAAGTGGGGCCTGGGCATTCAGAAGGAGAGCTCTGTCTCCTTGGAATTCTTACATTCCAAGCCCAAGGACTGGAAGCATTTCTGTAAACATCTTCTCCTATGAGTCTTGTCACAGCCACACACAAATACCCTGGCAAGTGAGACACACTGAATTAACCACGATTTCCAAGTTGTAATGCTCTTCCCTGGAATTCAGCTTTGTTTCCTGTGTAAGGAGCTGGGCACTGCCCTAGGCATACTAAGACAGAAAAAGAAGACCATCTCTGCCCCCAAATGTTACCCACTTCAATGAGGCCAATAAGGAGGAGAATTTACTGTGTTAGGTCTGTTTGAAATCTACACGACCAAGCCAGGCATGGTGGCTCATGCCTGTAATCCCAGCTCTTGGGAGGCTGAGGCAGGAAGATCACTGAGTTTGAGGCCAGTCTGGGCTACCCAGCAAGTTGAAGGCAGCCTGAACTGCACAGTGAGACACTATTTCAAAAAAAAAACAAGCAAACAAACAAAAAAATTTAAAGAAATCCACATGACCAGATGTCAGGTTTATTCTGAAACCTTTGAGGCCACCATGGAGGTAGAAGCAGGCATGAGTGACTTAGAATTATGGAGTTGTTGCAGGAAAAGGCCCATCCCAGGTCTGAAGGTGAAGCTAGATGGGATCCCTCAGTTATAGGCAGTGGCAATGAATTCTGCGGTTTTCTTGTCACTATGGTGGTTTAAACTGGGTCATCTTCTCCCGGGGCATCATTAAAAGAGCTCTAGCAAGTGTGTGTAAAGCTTGTGGCACATAACTAAAGGACAGTACCGACCCAGAAGTACTGATGCAAAAGGAAGCTTTTGGAGGAAAGTGGGGCTTGTGCTGGATTGGAGATGCAAAGGCAAAAGCATTCCATAGAGCAGCCAGATCCAGGGGCAAAATGACCCCGGAGGCAGCACATACTCCTAGAGCAAATGTTGCTACACTCTCACAACAATGGTAACTTTCCTGGGGAAAGCCTATGGGGGCCTGAGCCGCTCACTACCTATTATTTTACAATGCAGGCTGTAAAAAGAAACCAATGAATCTGGTCATAATGCAGGAGTTCAAAATTAAGTGCAAACAATCTGTTTGAAATGGAAGCAGATGACTACTTTTAGTAATACAGCACGCAAGGCCTGGTGGTTCCTTTTGCACAGCCAGTTGGGCCCCTGGATGCCTGGCTGCTCTCCTTAGGAACTCTGATGACAGCTAAGACATGTAGTTAGCTCCATTCCTTAGGAAGTGCCAGGGCTCGCTCTCTCCCCGCCACAATCTGAAACACAGGACAGACACACAGGCCACACCACCACTGTTGCTCCTTCCAGGACCAGCAGCCTGAACTGTTGGGCTTTCCCTTTCCAGAGATGGCAGATCAGATGCTGGAGACCTGTGGTGGAGGTCTGAATGCCGCCACCGGCTCAAGCATCAGAGCTCTGCTCCCTGCCTGGACCAGTGAGATGCTGAACCCATTAGTCACAGATCTTTCCATTCGGGCCAGGGGTCTTTC